AGTGGATGAAGAGGTATTAAAAAGGGGCAACCGGCAACCGGCGTGAATAAAAAAAGAAAGATGGGTAGGGGGGGCGAGCCCACAAGAGGAATTCCCAGTGGAGACGGACGAGGAGCCAGACCATTACGATCGCAGCTCCAGGCGTCCACCACACCGAGACGGCGCAGGACAAGGTGGCGCAGGCAAGAGCGCAAAGAGTCCCACAAAGCCGTATTGCGGATATCGCTACAACCATCCACCTCCACGCCATGATCAACAGAGTTGGCCGACTACGGAGTCAAAGAAGAAGCAGTGAGCAGAGGGAGAAGACATTTGACAGTGCAGTTCCACCTAGATCAGACTTGGCTATGCAGAACGTTTCAAATCACCAACACCCGAGTTCGTGCGCTGTGAGCTAAAGAGTACGTGGCTGTCATATACGGGGGAGGAGCAGTTGAAGTGTTTTTCCACTGGCGAGGCACCTCTGCGTACTGGGGCAATTGCAAGGAACTCCGTGACACGATCGCTGTTGCGCGAGCCAACAAATTGGGGAGATGGCTGGGGTGCAGCTGGAGTACAGCTACAACCGTTTTTGTTTGCTGCGGCTGCGGCCCCTCGGCCACAACGCGTGAACGAAAAGAATGAAACAGAAGGGTTTGAGAGAGGTCGACAAAGAGAGCAAGACAGAGAGAGAGAGAGAGAGAGATAGAGAGAGAGCGCGAGGCATATCAATGCGGAGCACGAGACCCGGCCCAAATCAGCTGGCGAAACTAGCTGTTTTGCAAGGCCGGGCGTTGAAGTCAAATCATTGTCTCGAGGGAGCCCGGTGGGCAGTATATATATATATATATGTGTATGTATATCTATATAGATATAAGTTAGTTACAGCAATTGGTTTCAAGCAGCGCGTGAGGGACGCCATCTAAACTTGGAACAGCGACATTTTTGTTGGACCACCGCGAACATGCGAGACACCCAGGATAAACAAAATCAACCGAGGTAGACGAAAAGCATCTTTAAACACCTATGAGGTGCATTTTCAACTCAGAACTGGCAGTGGTGAGCATTGGAGGGTGTCTGAAAACTACGACTGCAGGTGAACAAGAGAATGTACTAAATGTGCAAGTAAACGTGATGGATTGTTTGATTTTTCGTCATGCGGCAAGCGGATTCGACATGTCCATGCTCATTTTTGCAGCCTATCATGGTAGTGATTCACGTTTGAGCGGCTGTAGCTTGGGCTCACAGTATTGCGTGTCACATTAATCCTGTACCATGATGAAACTTCTTCTGCTGGGCGCTTTCAGGAGCGTTTTCCAGATTTTTCTTTTTGTCCCGGTTTGTATCTCGCCATTGGGGTCTCCAGCTGGGCTAATTTTCTTTCAGTGGCTGTGGTTTGGTACTGTTTTCTGCCTTTATTTTGTTTTTCATTTAGTGTTTTTGTACATGGTGTTTTCCAGTCTTTGATGGGTCTTGATCATCATGATAGTAGTGACCTCTTCAACCAACCGCATGGGAAGTAAGTAGACGGCAAAGTCTTGACTCGGAACACGCAGCCCAGACAAGCTTCCGAACTATCAAGTGTCTCCCGTCGCCAAGCTCCCCCCAAAGTATTAAAATATGTGAAAAAGAAGAGCAAAGTGCTCCGCCCACAGATGTCTCCATGTTCCCAGTGCTTTCCCCCGGGAAATCCTCCGCTGCGCTGAGGATACATCCACAAGGCTGGAAAGATCGGCATTGTCAGCAGGCGACTGGGGGTTTCTTAGTAGGCCACCGCGACGGGGAAGGATGAAACTGTGGGAGCCATCGAAATTGGAAGGAGAGGACTGCCGACTTTTGGAGAACCGGGGCGTATGGAGATGGAAGAATCGGGTTTGGACTTTACACAAGTACCCCGAACCAAATTGAGACTTTGGGCCCTTGTTTGGGCCCTTGTGAACTCCCTATGCCTCGGTTCCTTTTTGCTCCTTCCTCACGATTCAAAGCGCCCTCTGAAACGGGCAGCGCCGAACGCGCCCGAGTGTGCAGGTCCGGCACCTTGACCTACGAGGCGCGCTTGAATGCAGTGGGGCGGCGGTCGACAAACATCAGGTGTGAGGTGTGAAGATGGAGGCGACCGCCTGGCACTGCACAGGAGGGAATTCGCTTGATTGTGACATCGTGGAGATGAAGGATCGGGGAGGTTGATGACCGTTTGACCACACACAAAAATAGGTGGCCCGAGTTCAGGCATGTCCTTGTCGAACTAGTTTTTGGGAGACACCGGCTTTTTTAGGCGACGTCGGGAATGCAGCCTGTCGGCACATCTTGGTGGGCAGGCGGTGCACCAGACCACGGTCACCGGCATGGGGCAGAGCACCTGCATTGGAATCGGCGGCGACCCCTTCAACGGCCGCGCGGCCAGGGATTGGACCGGGACAAAAAGGGCTGTGAGGTGCCAATGCTCGGCGGAGGTGCAACAAAAGGAGGAGGGAGTCCCCTTTGGCGACACGCGGACCCACACATTCTTAAAGGGAATAAGGTGAGCCAGGCACCCAAGGTTTTGGACACATGGCACGACATGTTTTTCGATTTCGGCGCGTGTTGCTCACTGTGGCTGAACCTGGTCGCATCCCCACGGGTTTAGCCACACGCCTAGAGACCGAGCCTTTGCATCCTTTCTGAGGGGTATTACTATTACGATGTATCACGATGTCGCTGGAGATAGCACAAGCGCCAAAATCATGTGATAGCACAACGACTGCGTATGTTTCAGTGAGTGCCATGTGCCATGATCAAAAACTGCCAGGTCCACACAAAGACCAAAGACCCAACGAGGCTGTTGGTGCTCGCTGTTGGTGCTCTCTGCTCGCCGTAACCGAGGCACCAACTTCATTGACTGCCTGGAGCGTTTCGCACAGGATCCCGAGACCGAAGGCGAGACAACCGGGGCGGTTGGGGCGGTTGGGGCGCTTGGTGAGGATAGATGCCTGATCTCAACATGACGCGAGGTGGTGTTCCCTTGTTCCTGTCCTCACTGGAGCCACAGGTTGGGAGTATGCTATGACCACCGAAGCTGGTCTTATCTGCCCTCCTCTCCAGCCCCAGAACAGACCTGCCTTTTGGGTCGCGCTCCTTAGAGTGCAGAAAAAAGGATACATCCACTTACTACTCACCATCTAACTGGCCCAAAACCGTTTGTTTTGTGCTACGTTGGGCCACTCATGCCTCTGACTTGCTGGGTCGACAGCTTCCAGACAGCTTTCCGACACGCTTTCCTGACCACCTAGGGATCATCATGATCGGTGAGATCGGTGGCAGTGCCGAGGAGGAAGCTGCCGACTGGATCAAGGCAAGGGAGCGCTCCAGCTCCGGTCCAGTCCGGTTTTGGTCGACGTCCGATTTTTTGGTGTCCGTGGCCCTGCCTCCTTACTGAATTAAGTGGGCGCTTACTGAATTAAGTAAGGAGGTAAGCTACTAGGAGAAGTTCACTCCTAGCGAGGACGCAGGATAGCTCACGCTTCCTTGAAGAAGCAACTGATGAGTTGGTTCCTAGATTTTTAGGGAAACACCGAGCGTGGTGGAGACAATTAGACGGATCTTAGGATTTGTAAACAAAGGTTTTTGAGGATCAAACCTTTTTGGAAGCGGTCCTCAACCGCCAGGGTGGCACCGTGCCTGGATCTCGTCCTCAGGCCAATTGCACACACAAGCCGGTGGTCTCCTTCATCGCGGGCATCACCGCCCCCCCCGGGCGCCTTGGCGGAGAGTTGGTGCACTTGAAGCAACGGGGCAGGCTGTGAGCCAAGGGGTTGAAGTAGATGCACCTTCTCAAAAAGATAGGTCCAGCTCAGCCCCATCCGTTTGCCCTGGAATTGCTCTCAGGTCAGGGGTAGCTTGACACATCCCTACCTCCGACCGGCTCGACCCAGACGCCGCATGGGCCACGCGGGCGCCATCATCAGCGGCGGCAAGGGCACCGCGCAGGCGACCGGGGGCCGCGGGCTGCGGGCCGGGCGTCGCCGGGCCTGGAGGGATCTGAAGGAAGCGACTTCTGGAGGGGCATCTTGCTTGATTTTGGGGTGGAAAGGGATGGATGGCAGAGCTTTTGCCGCTGTGGGATCGGAGGACTTGTTCTTCTTGTTTTTTTTGGAAAGGGATGAAGTGGTTGATCGTGAAAGACCTGCCTAGTAGTAGACTTCATCGCCAGGACGTTTGTTTTGTCCCTCCGGTCACCGGAATCTGGCTCGAACATGGCCCCGGCATGGGAGGAAACTAAATAGACTATGTTTTTTTCTTCTGCTGATCCAGCACTCTTTTGGACCCATAAACAGTTGCTGAGGAAGAAATCGCGCAGATGAACAAGTGGAATGCAAGTCGCAATCCGCTCCTGTAGTGGGTCAAGACCAACTTGCCTGGTCTTCAACGGAATCTTTCCTTCCACACCCTGAAGCTTTGTGTGCTCGCAGCCTGAATGATGATTTGCCCCACGGGATCATTTGCAGCATGATTCTGCAGTATTCTACATATGGAGGCTCACGAAGACAGCAAAAAAGATGCAACAAAAACTTTAAAATAGAACATAGGAAGAAAGAAACAGCACCTGAAGCGAGTTCTTCAGTTCCGTCAACTTGGTCTCAGGACAAGATTGCAGCCCTGGAGAAAGCTGGGGCGGGGGCCTCGGCGGGCCTCGGGGTTTCGGAGCAGCGGTCGGAGGAGTGGCCTTTGAAGTTCCAACAGGGTTGCCGCTTGCCATCAGCTGAGTTTTATTGTTGTTTCCAGGCAGGTTCGGTTTCTATCTAGGTGGGGGCGGCTGCGGTTGCTTTTTGGGCCAACCGCTGCCCCATTTGTAAAGCAGTCAAGTCTCGTGATCGTGAGGTTTCATCTGAAAAGAACGTTCGGAGCGTCGCGCTGAATCTTCAACGGTATCCCAGCCGACATCGTTGGGCCCAGGTTGCCTTGAGATCCAAAACGTAGAGATGTTTGGTTTGAGAGTATATGAGTATATGGCACTGGCACCCCCCCCAAAATGATTTTTTAGATAAACGTCCATCTAAACTACCCACCAAACTGGGCCTTCGTGCCATTCTACTCTCAATCCACCTTATGCAACTCCACCGAAAAAAAAGGGGGGCTGCAAGTCCTATTTCGTGGAGCTCCTCGACCTTCCCTGGTCACGAACGGCCTTCGGTTCGGTTCCTCCCGAGGTCTGGGTGACAAACTCCCCAGCGGAGCTGGGCACCACCATGGTCAAGGCGGTTCGAAACGCGACGGCAGGAAGACGCGGGCTCGCGCCGGGGCGAATGCTAACACCGGTGGTTCTCGGGAAAAACAACGGTGGCGGGAAGGATGCGAGTTGGAAGCTTGAAGGAGTTTGTTGAGTGGCTTTGTTTGTTTCATTTTTTCACCATATTTTGGAGGAAGGCCCAAAGGAGCAAAGAGGAAGTGGTTCGGGGGGAACTCGGGGTTTGCCTTCTGCTTTCTCGTGTTGGAACTTCTATTCTTTTTTGCAGGGGGTGCACCTGACTCCAGCTGGCGCTGGCTGCAGAGACGTTGCTGAAAACGGGCCAGTCAGGAGTTGTAGTGGTGCAACAGAGGAGTGGTAGTGGTCATGGCGGTGGTGGTCACCGTTACTGTAGTTGCTTCTGGTTGTAGTGGTTGAAGGGATTGTGGTTGTGTTTGTGGTTGGGGCTGTGGTAGTGGTAGTTGCTATTGTGATTGCGATTTCACTGGTGCTTCTTGCTGTAGTCCTCACTGTCGTTGTTCCAAGCCCTGCAGTGCCAATTGGCCATCCCCCAAGTTGTTCCTTGAACAAACAGGACTTCGACAAAGCTTGACCCTTCGCTTTTTGATCAACCGTTGCATGAGGAACACACCCTGGTGAAAAAATGGCAGTTGCTTGCGAACCACTACGCAGTCACTACGCCCTCTTCCCGTTCGTCCACCGTTCGCCCACCGCCCTGTGAGGCTATGGAGGCGGCGGGCAAGAAGTGATCGGCGATGCGGGCATGGAGGCCCATCGAGGCCGCGAAGGAAGTGACGGAGCTCGTGCTGGGAGGTGCAAGAGTGCCCATTTTCGCCATTTTTTCCCTCCGAAGCGCACATCCAGTGGCTCCTCCCAGCGAATTTTAGCCCCTCCTTCGCGTCCCGTCTCTGGAATTCTTCCCAGCCTGAGAAAGAGAAGAAAGTACAAGTGCACAAGAACCAGCAGGTATTGTTAGTAAAGCAGTGGTTGTGTAGGACATGCATCCCAAGATCAAAAACAGAAGTGGTGGGAGTTGTTCGCTTTTGACACTTCCGAATGAACCTTTGGCAAACCAATAAAGAAGGCATGAAAAGAACCTCCGACTCCATCTTGGTAGAGATTGACCAAAACATGTTCTGTTGGACAGTGAAAGGTAAGGGAAAGCACAGCAAGGAAGCACTGGCGGCAAGGGAAAGCCATGGCAGTTTGGAACACATTTGGCTGACCACCTGCTGTTGACACCGTCATTTTCTCTTGCCAACCTGCCGGGACTTTCGTTGATCAGCCAACAGTCGGTGTGACCAATCTGCACGAGGGGAGAGTTCCAGAGGGGTGCACCCTGATTTTAAACGCAGGGCGAAGGCATTGATCAGACGAGACACAAAGAGAGGCGGGTTCACGTCCAGGAAATGAGCCCGACATGGTTTGGATGTGGGTCCGCCGAACGATGAAGTGCCTCGAAGCGAAGAAGTGGCTAGTTCACTCGTTTCCTCAGGCGACCTCCGCGAATCGCCTGAAAGCATCGACACCCGACACCCGGAACTTTGAGTTTGACCCACATCCATTTTGAGAAGCTGCATGGAGGGCGACATACCTCTCGCAAAGCCTTCAAAGAGCCTTTGCATCATCTTTTTGACAGCACGGACCTGCACGTGCTCCAGCTGTGGAGAGGACTCTGAGGCAAGATCTTCTCCAAAACTTCTTGAAGAGATGCCCAGCACGTCTCCAAAACTTCCCAATCTCTTGAAGGGTGAAGCAATGTGAAGAATAGATTAGAGAATCGATACATCCAACCAACAGTGATGAACCTCTGTCACATTTTCATGAACCAACTATATAGAACCACCAAGAATCTCTTGCGATTTTTCATGCGGCTGAGATGTTTACAGGAAGTCAAAGATTGATTGCATTTCTTTTGGTAGGGGCCCCAAGTGATGTAAAGACCACCTCTGGCAGAACAGGCTATGACAACCATGAGCATCCACGCGGATCATCTTTTCCTGAAGACCCTCACTTGCTGGAGCTGAAGAGCGGGTGAGAGTCAGTGGCGCTGTGAACAGCAAGTCCTGTGAATGCACATCGTTTGGAAGAGCGTAGCGTGAAGGTTTCTCATCGAAAAAGTCTGTGACCGCCTCAGACATATTGGGCTCAGTTCAACGACTTCAGGGTACATCAAGTTGACCCTGATCCCGATTGACTCCAGGATCCCGATTCCCCAACATACAATTGGTTGTTTTGGGCGTTGTGGTGCATCAAGAGCCTGACGTCGTGTTGGGGACGCCTAAACACGACTTGATGGTT